CACTTGAGACGCCGGAGGGTAGGCTTATCGCTGAGTTTGAAATATTTTGCACTTTTGGCGTTGTTTAGTTGGCTAAAAAAATTTATTGAGAGATACTGTCGGGAGTCTGAAGTCTGTATGAAGTGCTTCGTTTTTGACGAACCACGGCGCGTTGGATATTATGCGTAGAATCTTGGACTGAAAGACTTGAATTTTATTTATGTGAGTTTTGGSACAGTTACCCCAGATAGGAGCAGCATAGAGTATTAATGGTCATAGAATTTGCTTATAAAGAAGCAGGGGGCACTTCCAGCTTAAGGCAGTTTGACGGTTGATTAAGGGATAAAGAATTTTGAGTCGTTGGTAGCCTTTTGGAGTTTCGAAGAAATGTGAGGGTTCCAAGTTAATTTTTTATCTAAGATAACTTCTAGATATTTTATAGTTGGAGACCAGGATATGTAGTCGCCATTAAGTACTAGAGAKGGAGGGGTATTGGGRYGACRAAGTGTAAATAATACTGCTGTACTTTTTGAGGGGTTTAAGATAATTTTCCATTTTTTCGCCCAGATCTTTATTTTGTTTAAGTGGCACTGTATATTATTAGTGGCAATGTGTACGTCACTGAAGCTTGAATAGACAACACTGTCGTCAGCGTAAAAAGAAACTTCTGTGTTACGTGTAGTGGGAAAGTCCGCGATATATAAATTAAAAAGCAGGGGATAAATTGTTGATCCTTAGGGAACACCAGCTGTTATTTTTTTTATTGATGAACTGGTGTCATTTATGCGAACTGCAAAACAACAGTAAGAGATAAAAGATTTAATTATATTAAAGATTGCAGGATGGGTATTTAAAGTTTTTAATTTGAGCAGTTGGCTGTCGTGCCAGACACGATCAAAAGCTTGCAAAATATCTAAAAAAAACTGTACCAGTGTGAAGTTTTTCTTCAAAACTATTATTTATGTGTTCAGTTAGGCGGAGGAGTTGTTGCGTAGTTGAGTGTTTCGGTTTAAAACCAAATTGATGATGTGGAATGGCTTCAGTTGCATCTAGATGTTTTGTTAACCTGGTGTATATGATTTTTTCAAACATTTTGGAGACTGAAGATAGTAGACTTAAGGGCCGGTAACTGTTAGGGTTTGTGTTATCATTTCCCAGTTTTTTTTTTATCATTATAATTGAAGCTTTTTCCCAGTCAGTTGGAAAGTGGCCGATTTTTATTAATGAATTAAATAAAATAGACAGATATATGATTGCTTTATTTGGRATTTTTTTTAATATAGCATTTGTGATGAGATCGTGTCCTGGAGATTTTTTGTTTGATAATCTTTTTATTTCATTAACTTCGGTAGGAGTGGTCTAGGGAAGTATGTTTTGTGGAAGAATATCTGGTTCAGCTAGTTTGTTGTACACCGCGGTTTCTGTCTACCTACCACATTGTTCGGTGAGAAAGTATTTTCTAAGGTTTTG